CCACAAAAATTGGAATGCTAGTCTAGATTACAATTGCTCACAGTCACAGACAACTTACTTCATAGAATCACTGTTCACTTGCCCTTAAATTACTTTAACATGACAGGATTAATCATTAATCATTCATCTTTAATGGATGAATTTAAGAATTTCATTCAGCAACTAAAATCAATTATTCAATTTAACATGTCTTCAAGTTTAAAAATTAAGACGCAACTAATAGACAAAGAAATCAATTTAAATCTCACACCCAAAACATAGCATGAAAACAAATTGATAGATATTAATTATTTTATTAGATAATAATTAACAAAATCATTGAAACAGAATGCCATAATGCCCCAGCAATAGCATCAGGAACATGAAGTGATGAAGAGTTGAAGACATGGTCGGTCGGTCGGATTTTGCCATTTTGGATATCAAACATTGCAAGAAAACGATTAACAATTTGATAGATAATATTAATACTTAATAGTAATACAGATACAGAAGCAAAATGCCAGCAATATCGTAATCGGATTCATCACATGATTACCGTCAGCAGGTTGGAATTTGGGGATAAATAACTTACAAAATAGTACCAAGTACAACGTCGAACGAGTCCGATAATAGAAGTCAGAAGACCGCCGACGCCATAGGACAGGATGCTGTGAGTGTGACTTTGCCGTTGCATCGTCGTCGTTGCCCGTCGTCAGTAGGTTTTAGGAGTGGTCCGTTGAGACTTAAGTTGCAGTAGACGTAACCCAAACCATGGAAAATTGGCAACTGGCGTGGAGAACTGGAGCAGTCGACTGCAAAAAGAGTAGAAGACAACTGTTGTCTGTTGAAATTTGGCTCGGGTTTTCCAAGAAAAAATAAATGGTTACAAGTATTTTTGACCCCTTTATATTATGGACCTGAGGAGAGGCCTACGGCTCTGTCTCTAGGCCCTTTTCCACTAAAATAAGGGAAATCAATCTTAGGCAGCTTAACTCCCCTCATCTCTCCCATTAATATTACTTCCAGATGTTGATCCCATGCGTGGCGTGAGTATTCCTTCACCATTGTGAATTGGTACAAGTAAACTCATTTCTATTTATCTCTAGATTCTCCCTTTTGCCCCATCATTTGGGCCATCATGGCTACTAACGATTCATGCTTAGAATTCAATTCCCCTATCATTACCTCTATACTATCATGCTTGTTACACAAAGCCTTCAATGTTTGATCTGAGATCTCTACCGTATCACTCATGCCTTGGAGAGTTTCACTCAGACCTTCAACTTCCCTGTCCAATTTTGTTAGGTGTTCTTCTACGACCTTAGCTCGAGTATCCATGTCTAGACCACGTAGCTGCTCTGATACCACTTGTAATGGTTGGAGCTCAACTTAAACCCAAATCAACACAATTACTCGCAACTAAAGATAGTTAGCTGGGACTTAACAACCCAATTTACAATTGTATTAATTAAACTGAACAAAATTACAATTAAGAAGAGAAGAAGAGAAAGAAAGAAGTTAGAAGAAGCGAGGGAAATTCAGAGAGATTGGGTAGGAAGACACAGTTCTGACATTCAACCCTCTTCTTATGATTTCCTACGGTTTAAGTACTATAGCCAAAATCGTATTCCTAAAATGATAAAATGTATTACACTCAAAACAATTAAATTGGGAGCAAAACTGTGTCATCTTGGATCAAGCTAAACGCGTCACCCTGAATTTCAAAATTCTGCCAGAACTTCTGGGATCTCTTCTTCTTTCTTCCCCAAGTGCTTCCTTCAAGTGGCTGGTTATGACACCCTATCAACCACTGATGGTGCTGCTGCTGATGGTGGTGGTGGCGGTGGTGGTGGCAACGATAGAATCGCCATTGTTGTCGCCATATTCTTTCTTCAGAAAGGAAATTAGAATGTCACAAGAAATTGAGAAAGAGAAGGAGCTCTAACTGCATAACAGTGTAGAGAGAGTTAGTTATAACTGTCAATTAGCGCAACTGGGCCTCGAGTCTGTTAGGAAATTTGGGATGTGAACAACGTCGTCGTTTAGACTTTGTATGAGTCAAATGACAGCTTTAAAGGATGGCAGCAAGTTCAATTCAGGAATTCAAATGAGCCAATATTTATAGCGAGAATGCGACCCCTAGAACACGATTCTGGTTTTGGGGCACATAAATCGTGTAGTCATTAATAACTTTGGTTTTTGGTTGTTTTTATTTTTCAATTTTCTTAGTTTCTAAATATTTTTCTTCCTTCTCATTTAGGCCAGTTAATTTCCAACGTTAAACAATGTGATGGAATTGAATGCAGAAGCATTGGCAACAAAATCCAATTGACACAAATTGAATTATAGTGATCTAATTGAAATTGGGTTATTGTACATTGGCAACAAAATCCAATTGACACAAATTGAATTATAGTGATCTAATTGAAATTGGGTTATCGTACATTGACTGCAGGTAAACATTAACCGCATTTAGACGTATATAATATTTGATCAAACTAGCGCAAATAAGTTAATATGTAACTTAAAAGCTGCTTTTCAAAAATCCCATCTCCACATATTTTTTGGGAAAACAAAAAACAAAATTCTACTTTCAAGTTAGCATAGTTAATGTGCTGGTATCACTATTAGTAGGAAAAAACCTAGTCTGATTTTTTCAAAGTTCTTGTTACTTTTCCAACTCAAAATGTGTGTATCGGATTGAATATCCACTTTGATATAAATTGGTGTATACTGTCGACATAAGATAAGAAAATCGAATTGATATCTGAGTTCACAAGCAGTTAATGAGGAGTATACTGACGTAATTAAGTCAAACCAGGGCGATTTCTCTCATTACAGTGGCATCGCCCCAACCCACCAATAAGAGGTTGATTAGCCTAAGATAATGGTCATTATCACACCACCTCAACCACCCCTCATCAACCAATCACAACCTGTCAAAGCTGCACCGCATTCTTTTCAAGAAGAAAACATTGTAGCAGAAGTTCAAATCCCTCGAAAACACACTCAAGTTCTCTTAAAAAGAACACGTTCCGTTTGCACTAAGCATTGTGCTCCGAACTCAACAAATTCAATGGAAAACCAGCTTCCTCTGTAATTTCTGTTAAGTTGACTAGAAAGGTGACACATCATTTTTCAACGCCAACAATTCTTGTGTTAAATCAATGATGGAAAAATCCAAATCCAATGACAATAGGATTTCCCCCTTTTTCTGTTAAGTTGACTAGAAAGATGACACGTCATTTGTCAACGCCAACAATTCTTGTGTTAAATCAATGATGGAAAAATCCAAATCCAATGACAAGGCGATTTTTTTTAGGCTCGACCCGAGCCGTCAAGTCGGCTCGATTTTTTGGAATTTTTTCCTTTTTTTTTTTTTTCTCCTTCATGAGTATAAGCACAAAGTGCGGAATAGATTGCTATAGGGTCAGCAAAATCTGCAGCACATCATAAATGAAACAACACAATACGAAATCCACAATTTTCTTTAATAGATTTCTAAAAATCTATCAAGCCCACAAAATTTCTATGTACATTGTACATTGAACTAACTTTGAAGTATGCAGCTTAACTAAACACAGGGCCGGACAATTTATCGATATTTTTAACCTGGTAGGGCTGGAAGTAAACCAAAAGGAAATTGAGTCAAAAAGAACTAAACAAGGCAGATCTTCTCCGAGAAGATGATCTTGAACGAGAGTTCTTCAAAACTTTGGCGTACTTTACCAGTTCAGTTTTCTCTACATTTGGTGCATCTTGATCAAGTTGACTAGCAGGTGAAGAATCGTTTACCTCTTCCCTGATCGAGTCAATTCTTCTATAAATACTCAAGGAACTATCGTCACTGTTTCTTCGTGAGTAACCGCTACCTTCCCCTTTAAGGGTCTTCGAATCATGGGAATAAGATCTCTGTAGATCCAAAGAATGTCTATACAAACGCTCAGATGAATTTTTCAATCTTTGGGTGTGGCCATCAGCTCCAGGATCTATATCTAGTGGACCACTGGGATTGTACCCTTGAGAATCACTGAAACATCTTCCAACTTTATCTTCAACAGATGTAGTTCGATCAAGAGGTGAACCCCGACTATGATGCAGATTATCTTTTCCTCGTAAAAGCCTCATCAGTTTGCTAAAAACTTTTGTTTTGCTCGAAGTGCTGGTTTTGTTAGCCAATGAGGTGTCAACAGAAGAATCATCACCATCACCAGATTCAGAAAGGAAAGAACCCTGGGAAGATGACCATCGATCTGAATCAAAATCTGCAATATTGATCCCCTTCTCAGTTGAACCTTCTTTATTTGCATATTCAAGAATGAGCTGTTTCGCTTTCTCCTCTGATTTTGGGCTCAACGATTTACTAAGGTCCCTCGCAATTGTTTTACCAGGGGCTGGTTGATAATTCCTCAATTCATAGCGTAAGCAAGCATTTATCCATCGAAGATAAACTAGTTCCTCAACATCACTGCACCGTTCAGCTTGGAGCTGTTCAATTTCCTTGGTTAAATTTTCGTTTTGTTGTCTTAAATGGTGACTCTCTTTTTTATGTGCTTGAGTCTGCTATAAAAAGATATCCAAAATCAAGATTGAACTGTGTACTACAGGGAAAAGAAGATAATAGATAATAATTGAAAGAATTACCTCTTCATTATCTAAAGCGGAAGTAGCAATCATTTGTAGATACTCCAATTTCTTAGCCAATTCAGAATTTTCCTGCTTCAGGCCATGATTCGACTCCCTCAAATCTTCTATTTCGACCTCGAGTTCCTTCAATTTTTGAAGCTTATATTTCATATCGGGGTCATTTTTTACACCATTCATTTCCTGGTCCTGCAGCTTCATTACTCTTTCTTGAAGAGTCAAGATCTGTTCCCGATTCTGTTCAGCTTCAGACCTAAGTTTCTTCCTTAGCAGCTTTATCTTGGCCTTTGCAGCTTCTAGTTCAGACACGACTTGTGCATAATCAGCCACTTCGGCCTCTAGTCTTCTATTGTTGGCCTGTAAGGACTCGATCTTAAGATTATAAAGTTTAGCCTCCATATTGTTCAATTTTAGCCGGTTCTGCAGCTCCATAACTGCAGTTTCCTGCTCTTTAAGGCCGTAATACTCGAGAAGTTGAATCTCCAGGCTCCTCTCCCTCTCTTGGAGCATTTTAACCTTGCTCTTTAGGCTCCTAATCTCTCTGTCGGGTTCCTCATGTTCAATGTATTTGCATCCCCGGGGTGATTCTACATCGAGAGCTTGAGTTTCCATATTTTTCCGTGGAGATATACCAGTTGCTTTGACAGTTGAATCACATTCCTTTACAAGATCAACGAATTCTGGCAAGAGATAACCGTCTCTATCTCCTATGTATCTAGCATTCGGAGAGAGATCCTTGGTGGAATTTCCAGAAGTAACCTTTAGGGAAGAAAGAAAATAATGTTTATTAAAAATTGGAAAGTCGGCATCCTCATATTAGACTCATTCAGCTGATCAGGAGAAAGACAGCGAGAACAGATCAAGATTTACAGCGATTTAATTAGCAAAGTTCGGAAATTTAGTTCTCAAGTAATCAAAAAAGTTAAAAGCAGGCAACTATAGTTTCAAAGAAACCAAAATTACAAATAAAAGTAAAAAATCTTTAAACATGAAAGAATTTTGTTTCATGATTTTCAAATTCTTGATTTCGAGAACATTCATCCAAAACTTCTTTGAATTAACAATCAAACAAAATCATCCTATCAGTTTATAAGATCAATGAGACTTTTATTTTTTTCATTATTTTCTCAATTTCGATCAATAATTTCCGTAAATATCATATAGATCAAATCTCTAGAAAGGAAAAAACAACAACAAACTAAGCCTTAGTCCCTACTACATGAATCGTTCTGAACATTCAAAGCAACTAGATCAATTAAATGATATGAAACAGCAAAAAATCACATCTAAAACATAAACTAAAAATAAATAATCTAATCATCTTACATATTTTCCGAGTGAAATTTCAGGAGAATTGCGGGAATTTGGTGATTTGTGAAGAAATTCGTCATCATTCTCTAGCTCACGACTTTCCCCTCCCACATCTGTACTCAAATTATCATTAATCATTTATAATCACAACACACATAAAACAATAAAAAAATATAATAAGCAATTTTAAAAAAGAAATAATACCTTGAGAAGGCTGTGGAGGTTGAGATTTATCTGGTTTGATTTTTTTGTTTTTGAAAAGGGTATAAAGAATCCCACCAAGAGATAGAGCAAAAGCAACCCCAAATTTCAAAAGCTCCGGCCTAATATCCCTTTTCTCTTTCACCATAATTTTCACAGTACAAATTCAATATTCCAATTATTTACGACATAAGCACAAATATACGATGATCATTTACATAAACATAAGATATACATCCCTCTTCTTCTTCTAATTCGTCCTCCATCTGTACACGAAAAACACAGCAACATCAGCTTGTCAAATTTCAAGAATTCTTCCTCTGCGTTGAGTTTATAAATTTAGACCAATAGAAAAAGGGTGTCGTGAGGTGTGGGGTTGCGTGGAAATGGTTTTCGACGTGAGTTGTTGTTCTCTTTCAAATCGCGGATTTGTCTTTATTGTTTGATTTTGTTTCTCTCTCATCAATCAGACAGGAAATGAAACAGTTGCTTGTGAGCAACCTTAATTTAATATTTTATTTAGGCGTTTCATTTAATTAATTATTGCATTAATGACATAATCCTGTTATTAAGGCTCTGTTTGGCACCCATTTTTATCAAAATGCATTTTTCTCTCTTTTCTTTTCAACCACACATTCTTTATTAAAATAATATTACACGTAAATCAAAAACTTTTTCTTATTTTTCAACCACACATTTCCTATCAATTTACTATTCAAAAATGCATTTTCACATAAAAATTCCTACCAAACACCCTCTAAATATATTTATGAGGTATTTTCAAAAATGTCTAATTTCATGAGTGTCAATTAAAAACTGTATACTTTCTAAATTTAGCACTAAATTGTCTATTATACCTTTAATGAAAAAAGAAACAATTTATTTATTTTTTCAATTTATTGCGGATTCCAAGAAGTAGTTTCCACGAGATGTTACATTAAAATGATATTTTTTACATTTTAAATGTCATTCTCGATATTTGAATCTTTTTTTATATTTTAAAAGTACACATATGAAATCACAATATTAAATATTCTCGATATTTCAAATGTTGTTATTGACATTTTAAATATCTAGAATGACATTTCATTCTAATCGTAACATTTCTCTACACTTGAAATATAATTCTCGACGTTTCTGTATCAATGAGAAAAATAGCATTAATTGTGATTCGACGTATGTACTTTTGAAATAAATATGGCAGGTTATGTGCTAAAAATTTATTAGCCAATAATTTTTTTGCAAAAATGTCCATTTCTGGTTTTTGTGTGGAATAATAAATAGTTCACAGGGGTATTTTGATTCAAAATATTTCAAAATTGACATTTTTGTAAGAATTTGTGAAAGTGAACATTTTTACAAATGGACACGTGAAAGTGGACATTTTAAATAATTTCCTCAATATTTATTTATATTGAAGAGAGGGCCAGCAACCCATGAGGGAATTACGAAGACACCGCTCTCACTTTTGAAATTTGTCTTTATGTCTTTTTAATCACCATCTAGTTTGGATAAAAGAATCTTGGACTCCAGTATTTATAAATGATTTAAATTATAACTAGATATAAACGAATTAAATAAAAGTAATAATACTTATGAAACACTTAAAATATATACATAAAAAATGACTTCAATATATATAATTATTTATAAATATAAGCCAACAATAGACTAAGCCGTTGCTTTTAGTTGAAGTAAATGCTCTAAAGCATTGTAATTGGACAATATTTCTAAGGTCATTGAACTTTTAGCAAAATCTTAATTGGGTCATTAAATTTTTCTTTGTTTGAATTGGGTGACAAAAATTAAATTTTAATTTCAAATTTCACCACTTAGTAATCTTTCATCTTCCAAATAAATGCTTAATTTGGAAGTCATGCTGAAATATAACTGTTTTTAGGCTTTAAATTTAAAGACAATGTAATAATATTTATTTTATCATATTGATTTCAAGAGTACAAGATGTCAATTATGTAAAAATATTATTTACGATATGACTGATAACTAAGCAATTTCTGTTAATTTAGAAGACAATGGGTAATGTAATGTGACAGTGTGATGAATTTTGAAACAAAATCAAAATTGAGAGAACAATTAATATTTTGTAGAAATTCCGATAATTGAAGATGAAAATTATCAATTGTTATTCAGTAATGATACAGCTTGTTCATAAAATACATTGATACGTGCATTTTTTTTTATATATGAATAATTGATGGTAAAATTTGAACTTAATTTATATATGAATAATTTGATGGTAAATTTTAATGGTAGGAATAGATATGATATTACATTTAAGTGAATATATAATTTCACGTAATTATCACCTAAGCTAGTACTTGACACCAGTAATATTGAATATCATCATTTTAATAGATAATTTCATAATTTGTTTAAATTAACATTTGAGTCAAATAATCATGGGGAGCGTTAGACGTTTCAACTGCATCAATTTGAGAGCAAATGAGGCATCTTTTGGAAGGATCAACCCAAATCGAAGGTCAACATTTGTCCACGTGCTGCAATCACATAGAAAACACTTCATAATTGCAGTTTAAGTCCTCCATCTTTTATATTTGCATAACATGTATCCCAACTATATCAAATTGTGTGTACGGTGTGAGGAATTTTTTTTTTTTAACTTAGGTGTGAGCAGTCAACCCCACAGAATTTTTAATTATTTTTTGTTTGTCAAATTTTATTTTATTTTATTTTATCACTTTTTCTTTATGTGAAGTAGTTGAGTACTATTGAAATGAAACCATGTCCACCCCTAACTAAAAGAATATTCGAGAAATATTTATAAATGATTTAAATCATAAATATGTAAAAATGAGCAAAATAAATAAATGAATAGTATTTATGAATCACTTAAAATATACACATAAAAAATGATTTGAATATTTATGAATTATTTATAAATATAAGCCAAAAATAGACCAAGTCACTGCTTTTTGGGACGTAAGTGAAAATTTATTATTTTAAGATAGGTTTATTTATTTATTTATTTATTTGAAATATGTTTGATGAAGAAATTACTTAAAAGCTAATTTTAAATTAAACATATGTTTAACACAATTAATAATTAATTTCAAGTACTTTTTGCATTTTTTAGGTTAAGTGTTGGAAATTATTAAAAAAAAAAAAATTATAACGACTATGTGGAATATTAGTTATGATATGACTGACAATTAAATGATTGCTGTTAATTTAGAATAAAACTGGCAATGTAATGTGACATAGTGGTAAATTTTGAACTAAATCAAAGCTTAGTGAACAATTAATATTTTGTTGAAAGATGAAAATTATCTATTATTATTCAGCAGTGATACAACTTGTTTACTTTTTAATAAAATACAATGATACGTGAATTTTATTTACTTTTTTTTTTTTTTTTATAAATAATTGATTGTAAAATTTAAACTTGAATTTTTTTGAAATTTCCTATTTCTTCTAGTATAATTTGTTGTTAGTTTGGTCTATAATTATCAGATTGATGAAGTTCATCCACGATTAGAGAAGGCAATGACGCTACGTGGATTTGGTACACACAAGAAGCTGAACTTTAGTACATTTTGCATCATCGTTAGATTAATTTGAAACTTAAAAGATTTCTCTAAATTTTACCCACACATTCTCTAAACTATACCATTAAAAATAAGCGAATCATGCCAAAAAATTTAACCTTTGTCAGTGACTCATTCGTCCACATTAGTAAATCATTGTTCTTAGACAATATTTTGTTAGGGGATGAAACTTGAAGTTTTGGAATTCAAATTATGATTATATTCTTTTGTTAGTTTAGACTTTCGTGAATGAATTGTATTACAGAATTTTCATTTGATGGTTGATAATTTAAATTTGTTAAATGTTTGATGTTTATTTTATTTTATTTTTTTATTTATGCACGTATTACTAACTTATGATAGATTTTAATTTGCATTTATCATTTGAAAATTTAAATGATGAAATCAAATCAAACTAAACTAGAACCGAATAGTTCAGTTCCAGTTTGGTTCCATATAAAAAAAAAGTCATTAATTCACTATCTAAAAAAGCATTGGTTCATGGTTTGGTTCTCTTAAAATTATAATCAAATAAAACAATGTCCACCGCTAGCTAAAAGAATATTCGGGAAGTATTTGTAAACGGTTTAAATTATAAATAGATAAAAAAGGAGCCAAATAAATAAATGAATAATATTTATGAATCAATTAAAACATATACATAAAAAATGATTTGAGTATTTATGAATTATTTATAAATATAAGTGATTTTTTTTTTTTTTTTTTTTGGAAATATGATTGATAGAGAAATTACTTAAAAGCAAATTTTAAATTAAACATATGTATAACAAAACATAATAATTAATTTCGAGTACTTTTACATCTTTTAGGTTGAAGTAAATGCTCCATAGCATTGTAATTGGGTAAGTTTTTCTAAGTCACTGAACTTTAGCAAAATATCTTGATTAGGTCAATTTTTTCTTTGTTCGAATTGAGTTACTAAAGCTCAATATAAATTTCAAATTGATAAGCTTTATTTTATCGTTTTGATTTCAAGAGTACTAGATAGCAATTATGTAGAATATTAGTTACGATATGACTGACAATTAAGCAGTTGCTATTAATTTAGAAGAAAACTGATAATGTAATGTGACATAGTGATAAATTTTGAAATAAATCAGAGTTTAGTGAACAATTAATATATTGTTGGAAGATGAAATTATCCGTTGTTATTCAGCAGTAATAACAAGTTGTTTCAAGATTGTATGTGTGTGTGTGTGTGTATATATATATATATAATTTGAATTTAAAACTTTATCCTTTGACCGGAGGCTCGAAATATTTTTGAAATTTTTGATTTTTTTCTTTTATAATTTATATATATATAGGATAAAGTTTTAAATTCAAATTTTACCTGCATATATATGCAGGTAAAATTTGAATTTAAAACTTTATCTTTCGACCCTATATGCAGGTAAAATTTGAATTTAAAACTTTATCCTTCGACCGGAGGTTCGAAATATTTTTGAAATTTTTGATTTTTTTCTTGTATAATATATATGCAAGTAAAATTTGAATTTAAAACTTTATCCTTCGACCGGAGGCCCGAAATATTTTTGAAGTTTTTTATTTTTTTTCTTGTATAATTTGTTGTTAGTTTGGTCTATAATAATCGGATTGATGAAGAACATCCCCGAATAGAGAAGGCAATGATGCTACGTGGATTTGGTATACACAAGAAGCTAAAGTTTAGTACACCGTTAAATTAATTGCGTTTGAATACCAACTAACCTTCACTTGTCAAATAAGGATGGTTTGTAATTACAATTTCTCCATGTCATACTCATTGCATTAACTACTTGAATTTTACAACCGCGCATTTGTTTGGATCAAGTTAAGTGATGATAGTTGCACCAAATTTGAATGAGATTCCCGTTGGATTGTGTGTTGATATAGTATATTTTGCATGATAAAATA